AAACAAGCTGGTAGAGTCACTTTAATTTCCTGTTCAGAAAATTTTACTCCGACTCTGAATGCTGTTTGATATCACTAAATAACACACTGTGTACTTTTTTTTTTTTCCTTAATTGAGTTAAATGTCTGCTAATGACCACAGGGGATGAAATAGCCCACAGCTGGCTATATCATGCATATGCGATTGCTGCTTAGCTGCAATTTATGTAATTAGTTACAGTCATATTAAGCTATTTAAAACACATGTTAAAGACCCAATGATAAGCTGACATTAATGGGTCATTACAGCATGTTTAAAACATTTTCAATGAATATTTGAATATGCCACTGACATGCAAATAGACACTTATGGAAAACACTCATACATCAAAATATTACTGATTTTAAAGAAATACATGTATTTACTCAAAGGAATATTTCTGAGTGTGTACTTTTTCAAAAGATACATCAATGATATCATTTTCTCATTACAATTTCAATTCTATAAAGCTACAATGCATGGGAAAATTTTTATTGTTGCTACTCATGTTCCAAAGCTTAAAATACTATAAAGGAGAACTGGCATTCCTTAAGGAGTAAATGTAAGCACTTGTTTTGAGTTAGTCCCTCAACAGCAGTTTTGCTAGCAAATCTATGCGATTCTGCCTTTGGCCAACATGGAATCAACTGCCAGATTTGGGCCCAGAGCATGCACTTCACAGAAATACATGCAGGAAGATAGGTTCAGATTCATATGGCCTCAGCTCCAGGCCAGTCCCTGTGCCTGGCTGCTCCTGCTAGCTATGTACCTGTGAAAGGCCAGAAGGACCTTAGCCATCGCAAGGACTAGATCAGGAGACGCTGAAGTCCCAAGTCGTTCTCTTTTAAATTGCCAGGGGGCCTGTCGGAGATTATGCATAACTACAGGCCTACAAATACTTCTGTTTGACATCAGGGAAGCGTAATGTGAGGCAGATGACAGGTAGTGAGGAAGGAGTTTTGTTTTCTCAATAAGCAATGTGTTACAGTCCAATATCAAAGCTCTAGTTACAACATGTAGGATGTCTGTTAAGGACAGGCAACTCAGTTGGATGGGTAACATACCTCCGGGGATAGCCCCATGTAACACGAAACAAATATTGTCTCCTATAACACTGTAAAGGATTTTCTTTACTTGCTGAGTTACAGGTTGTTTCAAATAGAACTGTTTCAGCTCTGTTCCTCAACTTTTGCTTCCTGAGGACTTTCAGGATTCAACTGGATGAAGCCCTGAGCAACCTAATGTTGAAATTCACCCCACTCTGATGGGAGACTGGACCAGGTAAGCTACTAACCTGCCAGATTCCCTCTAACCTGAATTATTCTTGAGATGCAGTTATTGCTTGAGATGCAGTACAAAGATAAATACCACAGGATCGGTTCACCACCAAAGTAAGAATACTTCCTTCTTCATCTTTTCTGGCCAGCAAAACAATATATGTTAAAAGTAAGCATCAAAAATAGTAATGAGATTAATTTTAGTTCCAATCAGTTCAGAGAGCATATATGATTACTGATTACAGCTAGAACCATGCTCAGAACTCCTCCCCAGCGCAAAGTTAGCAAGTACTCTTTGGAGTCTCCAAGAAGCAATTCCAAAATGCACAATCCTGAGTACTCAAACACTGCTGCACCCAAAATTCAGTGTTATTGATGAATACAATAAAACAGAAACTTCTAAATAAAAGTAATATATCTCATATTAGTATGTTTATTATAAAGGCTTACAGTAGTATGTAGGCAACAGAGCATAAAAATATATTCATTAAGGCTTCAGTTTTGCAAGCTGTTAAGTATTCTGTCCTGATCAGACAAACCACTTTGGTATGTTAACTAGAGGACTAGTGCACACACGTTTAAATGTAAGAGCATCCTTAAGTAACTTGCAAAAATGAGATCTCATTCAACCGCTCTAAATTCATGGGTTTTGCTCATATCGGGATTAATTCCAGCTAAGTCAGTAACGTAACACTAATCTTAACACAATGCAAGATCAAAAATCTCCTATTAAAAGAATGAAATATTAGCATTAGTATTACAAGCTCAAGCAGACTTTTTTTTCTGAGTGAATTTGAGAATTTATGATTTATAGGAAAGGCCTAGATACTTATAAATTAAGAATTGGATTTGCCTGTTAAGTTTCAACTTTTTCAGTCACACAGTAAAACACAACACTGAACTAGGACAGAGCAATACTACTAATTATTATGATTGGTACCTAAAATATTTCTAACACTACAACAGGAGGAAAATACAGAAAATGCTTCCAAATGCTGTATATACTTGTAAGAGTCTAAAGATTTGGGAAAAACAATACAAAAGTGTAGTGACAAAGGAAAATATGAATAAAGATATAAAAATTATTTTCCACACTATTGTTTTATACTAGCATCGAATTTCAACAATAAAACAGTTGTTGCTTTTCTCCTCAATAAACACACAACCTAATCTCATAATGGTTCCGTATATTATTACTTCTAATGCTCATTTCAGAAATTTGAAGAAAGCATTGTTAATTCTCTTACTTTAAAAGAGAGGTCAGTCCTGCTATTTTCCATCTGTTAACATCTTTTCCTGTGTTGTCTCAATTATTTATGGTAATTTTTATTTTAATCTGTACATAGATGAATTAATAGAAGCAATCATTACCCCAAATTAAGGATTCTTCCTTGCTAGCTTCACTTCCCACTTAGATATTCTTTAAAAACTGCTTCTTCTTGTTTTCTTTTTTTTTCCCTCCACTACTTCACAACTGTATTATTAATTTCAATCTTTATTTTCTGTTTTTTTAATAGTCTACAGCACTAAAAACTTGGAGAAGAGTACATAAAAACACTAAAAATTGTATGTACATGAAGACTGCAGAAACTAATACCAAAGGTCAAGAAGAACACAAGAGAATATTAAGTTCAGCAGACCTTTAAAATATTTATATCTGCTTACAAAGTAAGAAGACGTTTAGAAATGTATATTTTGAAATGTTGAGCATCCCCACAATGTTAAGTATCATAATATTTTTAAACAATTCTGCCTACATCAATTATCTGTATCGTTTCTTTCTGATATGCATATTTCATTAATACTTACCTTGCCATTTGCTATGACTGAACTTAGCATGCCAAATGGAAACAAACACACTGAATCCTAGGTGAGTTCCATAACGTTCAGAGGAAATAAGGCAAATGCTTTGCCCCTAACAGGAATAATACACTCCCTACTATACAATATACTCCCAGCTCCTTTAGCAGGAGTCAGGAAAGCAAAAGTCCTTTTCTACCTCTTCATTTGGGTACCCGCGCCCTCAAATTTGAACGCCAGCCTGTTAGGGAGGAACATCCTTTTCACACATTGGCATATGGTGGTAACACAAAAGCAGTAGCACCCTGGCACAGTCTGTTTCCGGAGCTGTAAAAAACCTCTTCAGACAAAAGACTTGGGAATAAACAGTGTGATTCTTCATCCCATGCTTAGGCAAGCAGCCACATCACATTCAAGAGGATTGTTTGTATGAGCAAACACTGCTTAGTGTACAACACGAAGTGTAGACTTGGGCCCCAAATAATTCACTATACCTATAGGATAACATTATAAACTGGATTATTACAGGAAGGCAATTAATACCATGAATACCAGAAGCTGCAAAGACTTTACCTGGGAGTATTAAGTTTTATAAAACTCCCTCTCTGCCCACTATTTTAGCTGTATTCAAGACAACACTCTAAGTGCCCACTTTTTTCCCAGAAGGTAAGTTGTAGCTCTAAAGGTATAAACACCTCCACCTGCTTGAATGAAAACATTTTTACAGCTCTCGAAACCTGATAACAACCTCCTCCCACACCAGAGTCCAACATCTAGGGTTCTGTTCCAAGTCCGGTTTTTGTTGCATGCTTGCCACGATTTTATTGCTGCAATAAAGTGGGGGAAACAGAGGGAGAGACAGCGACCAAGAGAAGGATGTCTAATGTGTAAGGATGTTGATTACGCCTCACGCACTCAACACCTAGCACTGCATCTGAGTTTTACATACCCAAGATTATGAAATTCCTACAAAGTCCTTCAAGATAGTGCTGGTATTACTTTATCAGAAGGACACTGCAACTAGCATACTTTAAATTAATCTCACAATCTCTGGACAATTTATGGTCCACAAAAATTTATAGCTTACCCCAGCTTCCCTCACACACACACACACCCCCCCCATGAAGGCCTCATGAGTCATTTCACAGAGGAAAGACGACTGGGTGCACTGTGTTATTGGTGTATATTTAAGAGAAATAGACAACTTAAATGTGTAGCGCACAGCTCAGGTGGTGCACTGGACGGAGATTCAGGAGAAGGACGTTGCTGTCCCTGCCTGAGAGGCCCTGAGGCAACCCCCACGGCTCTCCCTCGCGTGGGGCTGCTGCGGAAGGGAGAAAGGGGACCATCCCCAGCCTCACTAGCACCGCTAGGGCGACACGAATTCATTCTGACACGACTAATTAATTAATTCTTACAGAACCCTCACTTAATTGCTGGGAGGAAGCGTTTACCTCCGACTTCGCCGGACACCCCCAGCAGAGCTGCCTCCTTGAAAGGGCCCTCCGAAGGGCCCAGGCTGCGCTCCGGCACAGAGGTGCTCCGCGGGGCCACGACGACCGGAGCGCCCAGGCCGTGGAGGAGAGGCTGGGCCCGGGCTCCTGTGAGCGGGAGGCGGGAAGGAGGAGGGGGGAGGGGAGGCGCCGCGGACGAAGCAGCAGGCGGCGGCAACTCAGGTAGAGGCGGCGCGGGCCGCCCGCCCTCCCCGCTGAGGCGAGGCGAGGCGAGGTGAGGCGATCCCCGCCGTTCCGCCCGCCGAGCCAGTCCTGCCGCGTCAGGCAGCCGCGGCCCCGCAGGCCCCGCCCCGGCGGCGCTGCCCGGCTGGTTCCACAAGTTTTTTGACAGTTTCTTAGCGGCCGAGGGAGAAGCCGAGTCTGCTGTGGCGGCGCTGGGCTGGGGCCGAGGCGCTCTCCGGAGGACGAAGCTCTTCCCACCGGCCGCCTCCCCGCCGGCACCATGTCTCGGGACCCCGAGGAGGTGAACAAGCTGACGGAGAGCACTTACAAAGTGAGTACGGGCCGGGGAGGGGGCTGCCCGCCGCCGCCGCCGCCTCGCCTGAGGAGACGACGGCCACCTTTGCCCCCGCTGGCCGGCACCGGCGGCGGCTGGGGCCGTTGGCCGCCCACCCACAGGCGAGGGCCGGCGGGAGGGCTCAGGGCAGCCTCGGCTCCTCACGCAGAAAGGGAGCAAACTTTATTTTGGGGTGGGTTTTTTTTTTTTCTTTCCCTCCCTTGTGAGTGATCTCGCCCGACCCGGTGTGTCAAAGACTGCTCGGTGCTCCCTCGTAAAGAACCCGAAGGGGCTCGGCGTGGAGGCGGCGGGAAGGCTCGGCTCCCCCCGCCGCGGTACGGCTGAGGCGGTGTGCGCCCCGGCCGCCTCCCGCCCGCGGCCCGAGCGCTGCGCCGGGAGGCGGCGGGGATTCGCCGCAGCCCCCCCCAGGGCGGGCACGACCGTGGCCCCGACCGCACGGGTTGGGCCGCTTTACAGCTGGGAGCGACAGCTCCGGGACAAGGCAGGCTTTAAGACTGGTTTCTCCCTCTCTAGCAGGCTCAGTTCTCCAGCGAGCCATAATTCCCTCAGTGTGTTGTAATGATAAGGTGGTTTGGAGATCGTGGTGGTTGTGGTCCTCCGCTTGAACCGTTTCTTCATACGGGTCGGAGCCTAAAAAAAGGCTTAACGCTGAATTAAGTTGCTTGCCTGCGTCCCGAGCTGAAAATCAGATATATGATGGTACACCCTAGCACTGCCTCAAAGCACCGACTGGTGAGGGTAGTCTAATTTGAGTCAGTAGACTTAAACTTTCCAAAATGCCTTGTTATTTGTGGAATTAAAAATATTTTGCATGTGGGCACTAGACACTTGTTTTGAACTCTTTCTCTCTATAAACTCAGCCCTTCCAAAACACACCGATTCTAATTGGGCAAAATTCCCTTAAGAAACATACTTGGTTGAGTAGCAATAGCAATACTGGATCTGTACCTCATTCTGTATGTTGTGTTGTACTAGAAAAAGCACTTAAATTTGCAAATGCATTTAATCATGCAAATGAACTTACAGCTGCAATGCATTTGCAGCTTTGAGCCCAAAAGAGGGCTTTCTGGGGGATTGTTCTATTTTACTATTTACTAAATCTTACCAGTTTACTATTGAATGTTTTCATATTTCTGAAGATGTTGTTATCATTCAAAGGTCTCTAAAAACATTTACTGGAGTATTTTGCTGTTAGTTTTGTTGTTATCCATCACGCTTAAGTCAACTTTACTCCTTCAAGTAGTCCAGTTGTATTGGTGTCATGTTGTATTTGCTGTTTGGTTACTTTGGACTTGGATATCAAATTCATGCAAAACTACTGAAAAAAAAAGAAACTACTTGGCTATGAATTTTGTCCTCTAGAATTGGTGCAGGTCATCTTAAACGGTCTGGTGCTTTTTGATATCAGTTATGTTCATGGCAAGGCCATAAGCAAACATAAATTCTGTTCTCTCAGAAGAGCAGCCTGTAAATACAGGCTCACAGAAGAGAAACCTGGGAAGTTGACTGTTCAGGGCTGTGCTGACAAAGGAATGTCCTGCCCTGTCTATTGACTTCCAGAATGTAGCTAAAACAGTTCTACAGAGGAGAGGGAAGAAAATTTCTTGTGTGTTTTAATGGATATAATGTAAAGTAGGCTTTAAAGGAATGACAGACCTCTAAATAAACAAAACCTTCCTTGTTGTTCAGTACTTACTTCCTGGGAAAATTTAGCCGTTTGTTTTGCTTTTTAAACTAATTTGAAGGGATACTTAAGACTGAAACAACCAGCAAAAACACAGTAATACAAAGTTAATGTTGATAGTGTGATGAAATGTCTTCTATGTGGGTATTTTGAGAGGTCTGGTATGTTGCATCACATAGCTAGTACTCACAGGCCTGGAAACCCTCCTGCCCTGCCCTCATTAAAAATTGAAACTTTATCCAGATAAGGTATAAAGGCTGCTTCAGATGGAGAATGGATTCTGGGTCTACTTTTAAAGCAGTTATTTCCATATCAAAGTTAAAATCTTGAAAATAGTTCTTTACTTCTTAAGGGCAGAGAGGACTAGCCTGTGTATTCAGCATTTGCTGTGACTGTAATCACAGCTCCCTCATCTAAAACAAATGAACACCTCTTTGTGCTCTGCTTTAGGCTGCATGGTGAGCATGCTCTCCTTTGTTTAATAATGCTCATGTAACTTCTACTCTTGCTGTGTACCATCCTAGCAATACAGTGCTTAAAACACCATGCTGGTATTGATAAAATCAGGAGCAGTGTTTGTGTTTCTCCTACCAATAAGAAGAAAGGCTTGGTCTGGGGAAACTAATTCAGTGTAGTGTAGTGATGGCATCTGTGTGCTGCAGGACCAAACACAGGCTTTTGACTTCTCAAAAAAAAATCAAATTTTGGGTGACCTGGAAAAATAATAGAAAATTAAATTGAATGCCTTGCTAGTCTGTTTTCGTGTTTTGTTTTGGTTTTTCTTTCTTACAGTGCTAATCCATTGGATTTATTAAATACGTAGTAACCTGTGTTATACAAAGCTTCAAAATATACTTACAGAAGTCATCAGGTGGCTAAGTAATGCCCTTGTATTTTTATCTTGTTCATCCTTTTTGCTGGCAACAACATTGGAAACAACATTTTTTAGCTAACCTGACTAAATAAACAACATAATCCACAAATACGTGTATGTGTGCACACAAAAATCAAGGTTGACATTTACTCTTTATGTAATACCTGAATAATCACTTTAATGCATGATAGGAATGGCACGTGCAAAATGAAGCCTAAGGGTGTGGAAGCCTATGACTAAAGAGGGCCACAGCCTCCCTTTTGCCAAGGAACTGCTGAGAGGTTCACTGGTATGACATTGCCCTGCCCTTGTAACTTACTGCAGTGGTGTGGCATGCTGTTGAGGGGACATTGTATGACCCCCTCACACACAGACTACGTCAGTTGGTAACACCAGGAAAGTTGTTATGTGTTTGTGTGTCACTGCAGCTCATACAGTTTCATTTCATCTGCTGTATATGGGGGAAAACTATTTGGCATCCAGCTATGATACACACAATACGGGGGAAAGGGGACAAAACAGGAAAGTACTGAGTTACAGACATGTCATTCTGTCTGTGTGGTCCAAGGGCTGGGCAGGCAGCTCGCATATTGCTCCTGTGGTTTGAGGTTTCCGGAGCTCTTGATAATAGCATGATAGCTGTAATTCATTGGTGTTGGTAATTGGATTTTAAAGATCTGTTTTTCTGTATTCAAGTAAATCTTACCCAGAAATTCTGATTATCAAACAAAGTGTAATTTAAAAAAAAAAAAAAAAAAACACCAAACAACCACAAAACCCAACCACCAAAACAAACAAACAAAAAAACCCCAAACAACCCCACCTTCGTTTGTTCAATAGAGTGCTGTGTTTTCCTGAGGGGCATGCGTTCTCAACAGGGGCATGTAGAATTATTTTAGTAGGCTATATTGTTTTATCCTGGAAATATATCTGGTAAATTCAGTTTAAAGTCCTAAATTCCATGTTTCTGTATTTTAAAAAGACTTGCTATTAGATTAAACTCCCAGGCTTATTTACCAAAATTAAAATTAACCTATGGTCCTAGCAAATGCTGCAGTAAGGCAGTTGTCTTGTGTCACTGAAATATAAATCTAACTTGGGGGAAGAGGAGCCTTTGGGTGTTTGTGTATGTATAAAGTCCAGTTCTATCTTACTGCATATTATCTCTTTTGACCTTACTTAGTCTGTCCTGAGTCATGTGTTCATAACCTGAAAAAGTTTGTATTTGAAACATGCTGATGGATATGTATAAATGTTTCTCTGAAATAAGAAATGTTCCATCAAGCTGACTAATAATTAGTCATAAGAATTAGTCTTTTTGAATAAACACTGGCATCCTGATCTATTTTTTTCATTCTGTTAAACCTGTTCTAAAACAATATTAAGCTAACTTCCAACTGAGATAGCTTAACATGAGGTGTGTTGAGGGCTTAATTGTGCCCGTCTGAAACCGTATTGTGGATTTAAAAAGCTAAAGGAGGAGATGAAATGCAGTCATGTACAAAATGGTTCAAATACAGCAGAACACAGTATGATTTACTTTCTATAAAGCTTTTCGAATCTTCTCAAGTGGGTTCTCAGACATAGCGTAGCAACACTAAAGACTTTTTCCAAAAACTTAATTTTACTGTTTTCCAAATTGAGGAATAACAATTTAAATTATTAGTAGCTATACGAGGGTTAGCTATGAATAGCTATAGTGATGGTAATACGAGTAACGTTAGACATAAAGATCTACTTTTCTGTGCTAGTTCTATAATTTCAGATTTCTACCCAAATACAGTGTTATCCGCTCCGGCAAAAGTGCCTGCAGGATGTAAACTTGAAACTACAGGGAGTCTATGCATTGTTTAGTTGTATTCATACCTGCTGAGCTATTGTTCTGTGAGGTGTGTCTTTAAGTAAAAAGCAAAGCTGAGCACTTACAGGAAGGCACAATGGCTGTCATTTGTTTTGAAGATTAACGTTGTTTATATGACTGTCAGGAACTGCGGAAGATATAATACCTATACACAACAAGTGGAAATACAAGGCTTGTTCCTCTTCAGTCAGCTCCTTGCTACCAGGCTGGTTAACTCACATTGGTTTCATGTGGTGAAAGGCACATAGCAACTCCTACACCAGATTATATGAGTATTTAATGACTCAAATGACCAGAATAGGTTTCTCGTATGCTTTTTCTTGGAAGGTCGCTTTTGCCAACTCTAAAATTCTCTGCATAAAAAGATGTTTCCAGTTGCCTGTTTTGAAAGTGTTTCCCTTTATTTCCATTCATCCTAAATAATAGAAAGCTGGAGTATCTGATCATGCGCCTCCTCTTCTCTTCTGGTTAATTATTCTGCTCATGAGAGGTAGTGTGTCACTAGAATATAGGACACTGGATTGACAATTAGGAGGGCGGGTGTGTGTCCCTCACTGTACAGGCAAATGATGTGTTGTGAACCACTTTGTCTCTCCCAGGTTTTTTCTTACTTTGTGGCGTCCATTTGGACAGAAGTTTTATTCCCATGTCTTTGTACGTGGCATCCCATGGCAGATAACAAGACTGTGATATTTTCTGAGACTTTTGACAATTTAAAATTAGTGGTTCTCTTGATCAGAAATTCTTCTTTGTTCGTCTGTCTCTACCTTTTTAGAAGTTTTGAGATCTAGCTTTAATGTATGACTTGCAGTTTTGCACTGGTGTTCAGTCCCACTCATTTTCATGACCTTTTCCTTGGACTGCAAGTAAAAGAAGCTGTAAAACTGTAAGACATCATAAGAAAAAACAGCTATACAAATTGATTTCTCAGTGGCTCTTTCCCCCTATAACTTCTGAAGCTGAACAAAATATTACAATCGCTTTAACTGATCTGAAATGTCTTGGAAATATCAAATTTATACCTGATCCTGAAGAGGGAGTTGCCAGTGACAGTCTCTCTTTTTGAAAAAGTGTGCTAGATATTTCTTCCTGGACAGTACTTCAAAGACAGCAACAGTGGTTTAACTGTATAAAAAGAGCACTAGAAGCACGGCCAGGTTTTCATTTGTTTAAGAATCTAGTCTTCAGTAGAAAGAAAAAAATACGTATTATGCTTCTTTCTAATGTTGAAGAGAGGAAAATCATCTAAGAATTATTTCATTAGATCATCTTGGAGACCCAGTGTTGGGGGGAAGCTAAATCTTTTAATTGAACACAAACCCTTAGGAAAGTGGATGAGCCTTGCACAGTGCTGTGAGGATCAGCTAACCATACCCTGGGTTAAACCAAGCAAATTCCAAAGGGGAATTTCCATTGCAAAGGTTTTTGCTGCTTCTCGGGCGTTCACGTCTAGAAACTGGTGCAGACACTTCTGCTAACAATCAACCACTGTGGCAGCGCAAAGGCTGAAAAACTTCCAGAGACTGCTTGGTCTAATGGGGAAAAGATCCATTAGTTGTATGCCTTCCAGCTACTGAAGGCACTGAGCTATAAATTGTTTCTTCATCTTTCCCAGCAGTTTTACATATATGTTGAGCAGATGTTGATGTACTGGAGCTCTTCCTCAGAGTTCTCTGTGTTTCAGTGGACCTGTTGTGTTTCCACAATGTGGTCTGTATCTGCTATACGTGAATACCCGATATATATCAAGTTGTCTAGTGAAAATAAAGAGCTATGGGGTCTGGCTTCAGAGAGGGGAGCTGTCGAGGGCTTTTTTTGTTGGGTTTTGTTCACTACTTCCTAAATGAAAACAACTAATGACAGAGGTGCAATCACTGTTTTCTGTTTGAAATCTGAATTAGAAGATGTCAAGAAAACTGGAATCTTAACCCCTGAATCCTTAAAAGAGTAATTTTAAAAATCAGTATTTCAAGACCAATAATTATTATGTCACCATTAGAATTTGGGGGTAGGTGGCAGTAAGGATTTTACTCTAAGTTTTTGTTGCGAGGAGCAGGGTAAGCAGGGACAGGAACTGTCTTTCGTCTTTCAAGAAAATTATTTCAGTATATGGATGCAATTCAAGGTGACATTGGGATTCTTACCTGCCATGGATACACACAGCTTCAACGTCATGTAGCCCTTTCTTCTCCCCCATATCCTTAGAATACAGGACTCTATCCTAATACAATCCCCTAGTTTACCTGGTTTTTTTTTTTCTTGTGATTCACTGACTCCATATATGCCAAGAGACGTCATCTTTAGTACACTGCCGGGAAGAAATGGCAAGAAGTTGGAATAGGAAGAGATAACTTACCTGTTGGAACAAAAGCCTCACAGTCACACTGCCTCAGATATGGCGACAGCAACAGAGGCACAGCAGCAGCATTTACAGTAGTAAATTAAAGAGTTGGGGTGGGAGGAGGGATGTTCCCAGACACTAGAGCTTGAAAATCCATACTGTTAAGTTGTTAGAATAGCCCTTGGCATTGTTGGCCCGACCTGAAACATGCTCTCCCAAATGATTTCTGGATGTGGTTTGTGAGTTAACACAAATCAAGGGCCTGGGGACAATAGGTAGTTCACCTGCAGTGATCATGTTTGGGTGGGTAAGAGTTTAATGGTATAGACCGGAAAACAATCCCAGTTGCATTTAATTTGTACAAATAAAGGCAGTAGGGGCTAGGTATTGTTGTTCTGTGTCTGCTTTTGATGTCATATATACTATACCAGTATCGGAACCTAACAGTTTTATATCTTTTTTCAATATTTATATTTTTTTACTCAACATGACTGTTAAAAGTATTATTGGTGAAATCTGGAGTTAATTTTTGTCTTCACTTTTTAAATTGACTGGAGTTCAGGTATAGCACTATATTTGAAAAATAATAATAAAATTCTGTCTGAATGACCTTGCCTGAAAATAAGACAAATGTGATAGTATTCCTGCCTTTTCTGGGTCCCTGTATGTACTAAATATAAATATTTTCATTCTGTTAGTAGTATAACAGACAAAAGCTTGATACTATTTCACTTGTCTTGTGTCTTGTATTTCTTGTAAACAGAAAGTGTCTGTTTTGAATTCCTTGAACTTGAAAGTTCTGCTGTGTGAACAGTATCTAGAAAGATGTGAGTTGTGTCATAAAAATAGTAAGAATAACAGAATGGTGTCTTTGGGTATCACATGACCTTCCTCTCATGACAATAAAATTTTACAGAGTAATGTCACAGCTATATCTTTGTTAGGAAGATTCTGGGAAAAGAAGGTCTAGAATCTGCAAAAACTTTTAAGGTTCTCCTCTATGAAAATAGAGGGCTTGTGTTAATTTTATTTTAAAAGAAAAAGCAAATATTCATTACCAAATTGTTCCTGAGACTTAGCAGCTGGTGTTATATGAAATTGTATTTTGTATGGAAGAGAAAAAAGAAAGGATTAGAACACTGTGGTTACTTGACTATTAAATGACCAGGCACATATGGCAAATTCTAGAATACTTGTTCAGCAGTGGTTATTTACATGCGTACAAAGGGAGTTTTGTTAAACAAACATGTCGCATCTTTAATTCAAATAGCGATTCTACCTGAAGAAACCAAGAAGCCGCCAAATAAGTGAAGCTCAGAGGGCTCTTTCAAACTTACTTAGCATTGTTCAGAAGTTAGCTGCAACATCCAATATCTTGGAATACTGCTATTTATGCTACATATATTTGAGACGTCTTAAAGGGCATGATTCTGAGGAGTGAATAACTACTGTGTTTATATCAGCATGTCATCTTTTTTCTTTTTTCAGTGCTCATAACAAGATAAAAGTAATTTTGGAATATTGATCTGTGGGGGAGGAGGGACAGTTACTGTCTTAGACCAGAAAGAGGGAAACTGAAGCTTTCCTATGTGTAGGGACAACTTGAACTTTGTGGGTGATTTTCCTTTTTGGAGCAGGCAAAAGCTTCTTCTCCTCAATTCTTCACCCCCCAACTTCGGGCAAATTCAAATTTGGATTCATAGTTCATGGCTTAACTTATTTTCTATTTTTTGCAAAGACTTGAAACTTTTCTGTTTAATGGTGTAGCTATTTTCTTGCACTGTGAAACTGCCAGTCACAATTTCTACCACTTCATCAGTTTATAGAATTTGCTAGGTATGAGAGTAGTCATGCTTGGAGCTGCTGGATTTCAGATTCTGGTTGTTTCAGCCAATAATTGTATTTAACGGCCAAAGCAGCTGCAGTAGATTTTTTTTTTTAACTCCTTCTATTTAAATAAAGTCATCATTTTCATTTTCTTTCTGAAAGAACTACGACTTTGCACAATAAAAGGCAGCATTTTCAAACAAACAAACAAAAAAAAGCCCAACAAATAAAATCCTAACTGATTTCCCTAAATGCTATCTGTAACTTAGAAAAGATTAATGAAGTGTTTAGTCTTCCCCTAATCAGATATCTGGTAAATTTATTTTCTTGTTTTCCTTTTCCCAGCATTTTTTTTTTTAATTTTTTTTTTTTCAGCGAGGGGCAGGGCAGGGAAGAGCTCAAATCTTGAACCGTTGTCAGAAAGTTCTTGTTATTATCTGACCTTATGAAACAAGTAGTGGATAAATGTTTTTCTCTTATTCTTATTTCACCATCACCTACCATAAAAGAAGGATCTGTACAAGCTTTTATCACATTCTTGACATCTTTTTGTATTATAAACAGCCAGATTCCTTTTTACCCTTATTGAAATAGGGGTTTTTTTTCCAGTTTGTTGATCTTAAGAGCTCAGTTTCTTCTCCCTTCCATCCTTTTCTCTCCTCTTCCAAGTCTTCTATTTTTCATCCATCCACAGACTCTTCAGATGTATGCTGTACCTATGAAACATAAAACTAGATCTAAGTAACACTGAGATAAATACTTTCATCCACTGTTGAATTGCCTTGGCTATAACACAAATTTTGTTTTCTGTTCACTAGAATGTTATGGAACAGTTCAATCCAGGACTGAGGAATTTAATAAATCTGGGGAAGAATTATGAAAAAGCTGTTAATGGTAAGTCTTCCAAATGCAAACTTTAGAAAGAATGTTGAATTTTAATATACATACTGGATATGAGGGTTGTGTATAAGCTTAATTTCCAAGTTGAACTTTGGGTGTGTCTAATTAGGGAAAAAAAAAAAAAAAAGCAAACACCCAAACATTTGTTCCTTCCCCCCCCCCTTTTTTTTTTTTTTTTTTTTTAAAACTGTCCTGCAGAAGTTGCATCCCAAACACTTAGGCACAGAGCTACTGCAAAATAAATTGAACATAAAGTCTAATAACCCACATTAGAATAATAATATAAATGGAAAAAAACCCAAAGTTTTGCAAATTAGATGTTATCTTTTTTTTTTCCCCTGGAAATATCTTCCAAAGATATTTTTTAGATCTGTTCCTGGTCACCTGTACACATCACTACCTAAGTAACCCTGTGGACAGAACAGCTTGAATGAGTAAGACTTGCAGGAGTGGATTATTATTTTTGTTTCTTGTCCATACTAAACCTGAGGATATCTTTTTAATGGAGTCAAAATTGGAATAAATAAATTTGAATCTAAAGACCCAGCCTCTCAAACTTTTTATAATGTGGTGGCTTACTTCCATTATTGACTTCACAGGAACTATCTATCTAAGAATGGGTTTCCAAGACTGGGCTCTAGATTCCCAAAGCTTATATTGTCAGACCTGCTAGAGCTTGCTCCGTTTCACCTATGCAGACCTGTTGAGCTGCTTGATACCATATTAAAGCAATGTAAAATCTCTCTAATTTCGCTTTGTTCAAGTCTGTGGCATGTCTTTCTCCTACCTGTAATCTAGTACTCTGAGAAATGTGATACTGCAGAAGTAGTGCATAGCCAAATAGACATTGAAATCTCTCTTCATGCAAATTTTAGACCAGGCTGGAGAAAAAGATAAAACCAAACCCTGCTGGAGATGAACATAGGGAATTGTTGACTTATTTGCAGTAATGCCTAACCTGATGGATTAACGTTGTAGTTACCTAATACCTAACCTAAGGGATTATAGGTAGTACCAGAAGTAATAACAAGTGTTTTCATGTTTGGTTGAAAGATTTTTATACCAGTTTCTGAGAGTTCTGCTTTTCACAAACTTTACTGTTGATACATTATATTATGCCTCTTTTAATTCAATTTGTCATCAGCAATTCACAATATAACTGCACAGCAGCGCCGGAGAGGCTGATAGGCGTTGTATTCAAGCACGTTTGCCTTTTAAGACTGGCTGATAAAGCATATCTAGTGTGAATGCTTAATTTCAAATGAATAAATGTTTACAACGTTGCAACAACTGTTGAGAAACTACCTTAAAGTCATCTTTGGACTCTGATAAATTGTTAATCTTTTCTCTATAAATTCTGAGTTGTATAAATAGATGTGTAACAAGGAGTAAATACTCTGTTGCTAAACAAATACTTTGCAGCTTTCCAAACAAGTCAGAGTAGACTGACAAAGAACATAAACTATCATTAGTTCTTGTGAGTTTTATAACGTATTCTTATACATTTTGAGGATAAAAGGTCAAAACTCCTTTTCTGCAGAAGTAGTTTACTAGCCATAGTACTGGTGAAGAGACTATACAAGTGGAGTTCTTGATTTTAGCTTGGTTAGCACAGATGAAATTGCACATTTTCTTCCTTTTTGTTTAGTGCCTGTATTAGGATAAAAGATTGACTTGGGGGGGTATCTTGAGAAAACATTAGATAGGAAGAGTTGGCATGGCAGAAGATCTTTGTGTATGGGTGGCATACTGCTCCATCAGTAGCACCAGTATAATTTTGTGCAGAAAGTTTGACTATAGAGCACCTATGAGATGCTGCTTAGACAGAAATTACTCTTGTGTAATGCAACAGAGCCTCAAAAAGAATCTTTGTTTCATTTGGAAGAGTTTCAGGCTTCTCAGTGAATACACTGTTAGGTAACCAAAGATGTCACCTTTGCTAGTAAAAACTGTAAAATACAGACCTAAAATACTATAATTGGCAATTGCCAATTATATTCCTCTCAGAAAAAAGTATTCTAAAGTCAACAGTGAGAGTCTGCTTAGCTTCCACTTTAGGTTAAAAATGTACTAATACAAAAAATTATGAAAATCTTACTTCAGTAAGTATTTTTCCCTGCCTTTCAATAAAAGCTTGCTAGTTTGTTTGGTTTGAGTTTGGGTGTTTTTTTTTTGTGGTGTGCAGATCAGTTCTAGATACTGTGAGGATACAAGGCAACCACTGTAGATCTACTACATACGTCAAATGTTTCTCACTGCTGGCCTCCCTGCAGTTTGAATCTTGATGTTTCTGCGTTCATTCTAGCAAAACTGGCTTTGCTGTTTAAATCGGCTATAACCAGGAAATGATTAACTGAGAATAACTGACACCTCAGTGATATATATTAAGAGCTTATTGGTTCCTGTAAAACTGGATTTGAACTATAAACAATAAAAGGGGGGGAACTGTCCGGGGGGGGGGGGCGGGCAGGGGAAAGATAAGATACCAAGGGTTAATTGGGGCCGGTCTTTTTTGGTTGGGAATGTTAAACTTTCAGGCTTCTTCCTAAACTGTATATGTGCCTGTTGCCTGAGATTTTTATTGCTTAAAGTACTTGGAATACAGATTTCTCTGCCATCCTGAGTTCAGTGACGAAGATAAAAGTAGGCATTTTCCTGGAGTGTCAAAATAACTCTGTGCAGAAATTGTACATATCAATGCTAATTTTCCATGTGTGTCTAAGAAACCAGAGATCTTCCAACATTTAAGCTCACTAAGTTGTTGAACAATAATTTATAATAATCTCAGGAACATTGATGAGATGTTGAAAATTTGAGAAAAGCATGCCAAATGGGTTATCTCCATAACCTGAACATCATCTTTCAGAGACTTGATTCTTGAAGTTTTAGCATTTAAGGCCTAAAATTTCCTTAAAGTGGAAAAGTTGGTGTTTGTATGTAGAATCCTCAGATTTCATTGTATTGTTCTGAAAAGAAATCATATTTGTAATTGCAGTATACGATGACTGTACAGTGTTATCCGTAATGGTAATTTTTAGGAGTGGTTGTATCAGATGTATTAAGCCTTTCACATTTCACTTTTCTTTTAAATATATCCCACCTGGCGAACTGTATTTCATCATAGTTTTTTTTGAAGTGAGTTACTCTCTCAGCCAACTTAAACAGTAAGTGATGATTTGCTTTTGAAGGGCTCCATGTCTCCTTGTTGCAATTGTAGGTCCATTGTCTCATGGCCAGTAGCCATTTCTCAGATCAGTGGTCTGGCTGGCCAATACGGGGCAGAGACCTTGGCATTTTGAGTATCTTTGGGATTGCATTTTGCTTTTTTCCAACAGTTTTATCTGTACCAAGGAATTTTGTTATGTCCTGACCAATGGCTTATGGCTAAACCTACCCACTGGACACTCATTGCTCCTGGATATGCATGAAAGTTGGAACTGAATAACAGGCTGAAACTTCAGTAATATATTCTGCTGTTCTATCTTTGTTACCTGGTTTCACAAATCAGCAGGTAGCACAGGGACTTGTGTAACTTTCTCTGATAGCAGAATTTCCTTATTGCCATATACCCCTTCTTCCTTACTATGTGCCCTAGATTACAGGATTTCATAGGATAATAGATTAATGAAAATGGAAAATACTTTGATTTTTTTTAACAACTTTTTTTCTTTCCCCCCAGCTATGGTAGTGGCTGGAAGAGCATATTATGATAGTCTTGCAAAGATTGGGGATATATCAGCTGATTCTCCCGTTTCTAAAGAACTAGGTAAGTGAAATCTCAGTTTTAAAAATTACTTCAAAATATAAACTTTATTTTTGTTTTCCTGCTGGCAGTTCGCAGAACTAATATGAAGTAGAGAAGGATCGGGGAAAAAGTGCGTTTTACTCTTAAATAACACATAAGTGGAAGGAATTAGATTCCTTTAAGGTCTATTATTTTTTAAGACACTTTTGTGAATATATTTCTGCCTATGCATCCAAAAGCATGTATTTTATTTTTTTAAGATCACATAATTCTATGATAAATAGATATGGAAAAATGTGTAGCTTGATTTTTTTTTTTAGTACAGAGATGAATGTTGAAATATTTCTGCAACAGAATATTGGTATGAGGAGTCCTAGCGTATGACAGCAGTTCTAAACTAAAACAATATTCTGGATGAGTTCCACTGTGAAGAGTTTAGTTCTACTTCAGTATTTTTGATCAAGTATATCACTAAAAGTTTGCAGATGCATTATTTTCCAGTTGAGCTTTTGAAAGAGAAATTGTAGAGTCAAAGATGTAGTACATTTACATTAATGTAAAATTAATCCAAGTTCTGTACTTTTCTGAAAATAATTTGTGAATTTTTGAAAGATTGTCATCAGTACTTCATTTTGTATTCCTTTGGCTGGCATTGAAATGATACTGCTCAATCTACAAAAGTGAAGTTGGCATCAATCAAAGTATTTGTAACATTTCTGACAAAAGATTCCAATATCACTACAAAACAAAGAAGCAGGAACTATACTGTAAATAGGAAACCTTTGTTTAAAGCCTTTATTTGCTTTTTGACAAAAATAACTTGATAAAGTGTCTTGTCTCTGAACTTTTGATTATGGGCAATGTAGGACTTTTTCAGTGATGTAACATGCATCTGCTCCTGTAACTCACAATAGTATGTTAATTCGGCTGATTAAAAAGGATGGTTTTAGTAAATGTGTTCTTAATGATTCTACTGAAGCAGAATTGAGGGCAAATATTCTTCTTGAATGGTGGCCACTGGTTTCTATGTGCCTGCATACATTTTTGATTTGTTCTGAAACCACTTTTGTGTGAGTGTTAACATTCTCTGTTGAAAGTTGGGAGCGGCAGAACAGCAAACAGTACAAAGCAAACAGTCCTAATGTAGTTGCTTTCTGTATTTGCTTTGCAGGTTGTTTACAGAAAGCAGAGTTGCTGGTTTCAAACTATAGAACAAAAGTATGAGAAAGTTGAAAGTAATAACCATACAGAGTCTTATAAAAATATCAACAAATGCATAATTACAATTTTTGCAATCGAGCAGTTGGTCAAATGCATGGAAGTAATCTATTTATTGAACTTTGTATGACTGTGGGATATTGTCTGCTTGTTTGCAGATATTGTCATTGGGTAGTCTTGAGCTGAATTCTGAAAATAACTGGTTTTTCCTATTATTGGGGACAATACAGAATTGTGATTGAAAATATAATTTTGTTTAACTATAAATTCTTCCCTGCAATTATAAACTTTTTTCTAGATATACTGTATTGAGAAAACATGGCCTTCTTCAGGGTCAGGCTTCTAACACTGCTTTCTGTTCATCTTCTACTTAAACCGTTACTGTAGAAAAATTTTTCTTCTTGAGGAAAACAGCAACTCTGGATTTCTTCCAGCATAACTCTGATAGATACTTAATTTAGAGATAAGGAAAGTCAATGAACATTGGAAAAGGCAGGATAATGTGGTTAGGAGTCCGAGAGAGATCATTTGCATTTTCTTGAAAAAGTCTTAATAGTTCTGAAGCTGGGCTACAATACTGAACTATTCAGCAAAGTAATATGATACACCCCAGATGCCTCTAAAAGTATCTTTGCTTAAAAAGGGGGGAAAAAAAAAGATAAATACTGCACCTTTTAGTATTTTTAAAATACTAAGAAGCATGTTGAGCAGTATCAGATGTGTAAAGACTAGATCAAATTTTGCTGTGATTTTTTGCTTGTTTGTGGACCCTATTAACCTTAGTGGAGTTACCATAGGTGCAGCCCACTGTGGAATTGTCTCTTCTGTGAGTTCCTTTAGACTTGCCAAAAGACATGTTATTGACCACTAACAGCTCTGTCATGCATAATACTGATGTAATCTTTGCCAAGAAAGAGGTCAGTAGTCACCAGTTAAGTTTTGTGATATGCTTGTGAACTGCTTTTCTGGAATGTATTCTCCTGAGCATCAAGTAAGCTGACACACTAGCTTGTTTTATAAGAGCAACAGTCTAAAGACTGGCAAAGAAGCAGAGAGGAGCAAGTTCCAGAATTTTCTGTGTGCGTGTTATCTGGAATATTTCTGTAACTTTTTACTTTTCTCTTGCTTAATATTATATTATAAGGCCTCTTCCTGTATCCTGTATTAACTGAAATAAATAGCAACATTCCCACAGATGTCAGTAGTAGATCATTACATTTTTTTAATACTTAAGATGTTATTCTGACTCTTCACAATGAACTACATAAACCAACAATGGCCAAGTTCTAAATGGTTTTGGAGTGCCTTAATATTAAGAGCACCACTTGAGGTACTACAGTGGTCTGGATTTCTAGTGTTCAGGTCTTTGGACAACAAGAAAATGTAAATGTGTTTATTTGAGTAATAAAAAATTGAAACATCCAATGTAAAAATTTAAACTAATCTTGAAACTGACCTGTTTAAAAACAAACAAGCCCCTCCCCTCCATGGCTTACCAATTTAACCACAGTCAGGACAGTTGGCTCATAAGCCATCCATAGATGGCAAGACTTCATAGGAGTCAGAAATCCCTGGTGCTTTTTTTTTTACCTCATTGTATCATCTACAGCAGAAATGAAGGGAAAGCATATCTGCCAATTAATTATGTTTGATTCGTCTTAAACGTACATGCCTCCTCCATTAGCTTTGTGTTTCATCCATTAGCCTTTAGGTACTTCTTGGCTGTAAAAGAAGGTGTTAAAACAAGATTCCTCCCTTTTCCCCTTTCTCCGATAGTTACATATAAAGCTGTAACTTTTGCAGGCACAGTTCATATTAAAATCAGTTTTCTGAATAATGAACAGGGGAATGAGGCAGGAACCAAGGTTTCAGGTGCTTCCTGTAGCAACTTCACCGTTAGTAGTGGCAGATGAAAAATTATGTATTACTCTAAATTCAGTCATGTTGCATTAAACTTCTTGCACATAATTATGAAAGGACTACAAGGCTCAGATGGCTAAAATGCAATATTCTTTAGAATTCATGGAGAATCTTTACTTGAATATTGCACTGAGTCATTTTACAGTTCAAACCCAAACCTGCTGGGTGACGTAGAGCATATTTACTGCCAAGTCTGATGTAAAGATTTGTATCAAAAACACAGTCAATCCTTCCTTCTCATAAGGAAACACAGAACATGGTCTTCCTGTAATAACGACACTAAAATGGATACCAACCCCAAAGCAGGGTAGAAACAGAAATGGAAAAGAAATAGGGAAAAAAAAAATTAAGTAGAGGTTAAAATGCATAGAGGTTGGAGAAGTAGTGGGGAAAAAAATCAAGTAAAAATGTCAGAAAATGCTCTCTTCTATCAAATGAGATTGGAGCAGAAGACGGAAACAAGAGAATGAAATGGAAAATTGGATATTCCAGCCGATTCAGAGCTTTTGTACTACATATCTGTATCTTTCAAGTCTGATTGAAGCTCTCTATATTACTTTAATACAGAATAACTTAATATGAGTAAGTTAAGGAAGTAGAAGAATATACTGCCTTCATAATACAAACCTTATGAATAAGGGATAAGTTGATGTAGGTCAACATTCTTTCTAATTTTTTACTTCCCTAAATTTCTAAGCTTGTAGTCCCTCAGACTTGGCTACACGAGTATTTAGGAACATAAGCTGAATTTATGTAGTTTGGGTTATTCTGCAATATGGAATTTGCATACCTTTCTTTTCTAGGCACCTTTTGGAAATCCCACTAGGTAGAAAAGATAAGAAACAAGAAACTGCACATTTTAAAATGTTAAGATTTCAAACTATTCAAATTTAAGCATACCACATCACAATAAAATTTGGGGTTTCAATAATGCACTAAAAATAATTTAATGTAGATACTATACCACTGATACAGTGTTAAAACAGTAACTTTCATGATGTGTTGCTCATCTTTTTTTGTCTTGCCCAAAATATGAGTTTATGAGGCTTTGTTTTAATAATTTTTAATGCTTATAATTTTAAAACTCTCTCCTAGTAACACAGGCTGTCTTTGTAGCCTTCACTTGCTCAAGGAATCAGGAAGTTATTTCCTGCTCGCTCACTGAACACTACTTCTCACGTCTTCCCAACCATCCTCTTTAGCACCTGTCAGTTATTGTAGCTACAACTCATTTATTGTATTGTGGGTGTAAAGTCCCAATTTGTTTGTTGTGTGGCAACTGTATCTATAGCAGTCGCCCACAATTAAATTATGGGTCTGTACCTAAAGCTTATTGCTCAAGAACTAGTAAGTGTAAATTATTCATTGCTTGTCAAAATATAAAAAGCCAAATTGTAAGAAAAATATTACATGGTGTGGTCTTGACCAATTGAACTAAGTTGCAGAAGTTCAGCATGTTAAAAGGAAAACAGAGGAGACAAAGTCTCTTCCCTAATCTAACCAAGACTGATATTTAAAGATTACTCTTATAGGCTTTTTTTCATAGTCTCATTCTGTTAAAACTTATCTGGAAACAAGTATGCAAAAGCTTATGCTCATCTACAGTCTGAAATGTAAGACTATGGAAGAAATTGGGTTCTTCTCAGGAGAAATATTCTGGTTAAAAACCCCTATGGGTAATCTAGAGAAGCAAATATTGGACTAAAAGATTGCTCTGTTGTGGTAGTCACAAGACAGGGAGAAGTGGGGAGACAAAACCTGAAAACTCCTAATGGTGTGCGTAGTAATTGGAATTCTTGCCTGACAGAGGATGAGCCCTGAACAAAAGAGAGGACTGTGCTTTGGGTCTAAAAGACAGTATTTGAACGTATTCACAAAATGGA